ACATTAAAACTTAAAACATGCAGAGTTGTGTAAGTGACAGAACTGGAATTTCAACCCAGGGTCATCAGAATTCAAAGTTTAAGCTCCTGACCACAGGCTATGCTGCCTCAAGAAGTACTTATACAGCCTAAGTGTTGCCTGGCTTGCTTCTTGCATAAGAGAGGCAGAAGCTACACTTATGGAGAGGCACAAGGTATCCTCAGTGACCTTTCTAGAAAATTGATCCTTTCTTCCAGGCTTGAAAATACTTAGCCAGATTCATCTCAAGGGAGGCAGTGTTAGCTCTGGTCAGCAGCCATCTTTGTGTCAACGGCCCTGAAAATGGAAGATTTCCTCCGCCCAGGCCTGGCTTTGCTCTGACTTCATAGCACAGGGTGGAGATGCCCTGAGATGTCTGAAAAGTCCATAATAAACCCTCACCCATTAAAACAAGCTTACACTCAGTACTTCTCGTACCAGGCTATGTCCTCTGGCTCCTGCTAGAACGGGCACTACGTTTGTCATCATTTGGGGGAGATTTAGGCAACAAACAAAAGCATTCTAATATTCCACTAAAAAGCATAAGGAAATAATTTTTACCTTCTGAAATTCTATGCATTACTGACCAAACAGAAATTAACTTAGCCTTCCTCCTATAGGAAACCCATGCATTAAATGTGTTCTCCTGAACTGTGTTCCGCAAACATACAAAGTCCGATGCCACGTGTTGCCATCTGTCTCCTGCTGGGGCACTAGAATTTTGCCAGGCTCAGCAAACAGCATCCTGATAGGTTCAGAATCACAGTCAGTTGCTGGCCTGACATTCTTGGAAATGGGTTTAGATATACTCTCTATTATCCAGACATTTCAGTACAATTTCATCTTTACCTTTGGGGGCGCGGGGGGAAGGAATGTCAGGGCAAGAAATTTTATCTTCACTTTGGGAATGAAAAGGAATATGTAAATCTTAGTCATAGTGTCCATTATTTGATACAAGATTATCTGGAATCATATTCTAACCTCCCCACCATCCCAAACAGTTTAGAAATTCAAAGAGACCAAAATGATCAAACCTAGTAATATTAAGCTGAAGAAACTTCTGACTTTTATACCAAATTAATGATTGATCTTTTGGGTAATAAAGTTCAGTGTTAAGGTGGCTCAAATTTGTATAGTATAAAATTTAGCTGGCTTGGTAAAGTTAAATGACTTTACTACCGTAGCAATGGGGTCAATACAGAAGGAAGACAACCATACAACCATATTGTGTTATATTTCTCTTTCTGATTTTTGTGGCTGTTTTGTTGTATGGCTTAAAGCACAGTTTTATTGATATCATAAAGATATTTTTGCTATAGTTTAGTACTTTACCATTTTTCTTTGAATAAAAGATTTTAAATACCTGTAATATTCTGAAGTATGGTATAAGTTTAATTTGTACTAGTTATTGTTGGCCGCGTTAATAAATTATCTCAAACTTAGTGGCTTAACACCACACAAATTTATTAGCCTAAAGTTATATGGGCTAATATTCTGAACACTAACTCACTGGGCTAAAATCAAGGTGTGGGCTGGGCTATATTACCTCCTGAAGGTTCTAGGAGAGAGTTTATGGCCTTGCCTTTTCTAGGGTCCAGAGGCTGCCCATTGCTCAGGGCTCTCTTCTTCCATCTTCAAAGCATTTGATGGGTCAAATCCTTCTCACATCACATTACACTAACCTCTTCAGCCTCCCAATTTCACTCCCAAGGACCTTGGTGATGGCACTGGGCCCACCCAGATAATCCAGGATAATCTCCCCACCTCAAGGTTCTTAGCCTGATCACATCTGCAAGGTCCTTTTTGCCATGAAGGGACATACTCCACAGGCTCCAGGGACGGAAATGTGGGTGTCTTTGGGGGTCTGAAATTATTCTGCCTAACACAGAATCCAAATGTTTCTGTGGAACATATTGCCTGCTTTTTATAATCTAGGACAATTAGAAACAAGATTTATCAGGAATTTACTTGGTGGCAGTTTTACTAGAATGGGTCTATTTTGTTAAGTAGAAATCACGTATGGTTTTGCAACCAAAAGCAAATGAGTGTTACGTAAGTGAAAAGTTGAAGCAGACAGTAGTGAAATGTGAGGCTGCTGATATAAGATCCTGATTTTAAAAGCCCTCATTTGCCACATTAAAAAATGTGGATCATATTCTGTAAGCAATGAGGAGGAACTATTCAGGAGATGTAAGTGAGAGAGTAATGTGGTCAAATTTAGGTTTTAAATCTCATACTCATTTTAAATAAATAGTCACACTATACTGAATATTTTTATATCATTATTTGAAAATGTAGGTTTACTTTGTCTATTGAAATCTTGTTTGTGTACAGTGAGTTCATCACAACCTGCCTTGTTTCTGAGGGAGGGTGACCCAATGAAAGGGTCCTGGGCTCCCGATGCAAAGAAGATTGAATATAGGAACTCCCAAGGGGAGAATTTTAAATGAACTCAAAAGACTCATTGGTTTTCCCTATATTTACGGGCAGAGAACAAAAAAAATTCTACAAAAATGGAGATAAAAGAAAGCAAGGCTTTCTTTCCCTTCCAGATAATCTAATTCCATGTAGTGAAGGCACAACAGCCACCTTCAACAGCACGGGGTTGCCATGAAGAAGCACAGCTTCAAATGGTTTGTCCAAAGTCACTGGTGAAGGGTCCCCAGAGGAACTGAGACATTTTTAACGAGGAACTTGACGTCAGAAATGTTGTAGGATTCTTCATGAATAGATAGAGATTTGGCTGATAATTTCCAAGGTCTTTGCAGTCTGTTCTAGATATTTCAGTGATTCTTTTATTTACGTTAGAAAATAATCAATTTTTTCAAAACGTATATTACAAGCTCTTAATCAAAATTCTAGTTGATAGTATATTTGAGTAAATTGGTTCCAGCACAAATGAGTTAGTTACCTTTGCCCAGAATATGTTTTTTTAAGGATATAAAGGGAAAACAACCTAACAGAAAGCCAGTAACTCTTGGTTGTATTTTAAAGTGAGTTTTCTTAGTTTAATTACATTAAAGTCCTAGAAACAAGTTTACTATTTGTCCAAAGCTGGAGGATTTAAATCACTAACCACTGTGCTTCCACTTTCAGCGATGCGTTTGATTTTGAGATTGGTGTGGTCATCGTCAGAATCAGCCAAGGCTTTGACATCTCTCAGGTTCTTCAGGTACAAGGTATGTACTTTCTTTATTCAACCAACAAATATTTATTGAGCCTCTGCTCCACAGCTGGCATGGAGCTCTAGGTGCTGGGGTTAGAGACCCGTGCACCATATGGACAAAATCCCTTAACAGCAGAGCTTACATTCTTATGCTGACCTGAGGTTCGTACACTTCCCTGCTTTCCCCATTGCTAACACAGGTGGCCTGTGTCCTGCTAACCAGAAATATAGAGTACTCCAGGGCTGTCATCAGTTATTCTTCTTATCACAAAACCACAAAGCCAGCATCGCTGAAAATAAACACCTTCGGTAAATTAACCTGCGGAATTAATTTCTGCAAGATGTTTCAGAAAAATGAAGATTAATTCTTTCCTCGGAAAATCATGTATTTTGTCTTTAAGAGTCTATGACCTAGTTTACAGCTCACATGGAAATGAGCCTGAATGTATCTTGCTATGTGAATCACGAATGTAAGCCAGAGGCAAAATCACTAACTCAGATTAGTGACTCTGCTTCTTCTCTAGGACAGTGGGCCCGCTTACACAGGATTTTTAAAATTGACCTGCACAGTTCAATTGACTACAGTTCAACTGAAGCTCACAGTTCACTTGACCCGCGCAGTTCAAACCCACGTTGCTCAGGGATCAACTACTTGTTAAGTCTTAAAGTTTAAATATACCCTTGTAAATAAAGAACACATCTAAAAAGTCACTGAAGTATTAGGACAGGGTAGTAATCCATGACTTATCTCTTTAATTAAACTTTAAAATGGAGCCCACTGAAGACATGGCACCAAAACAGGATTTTGGGGGTACCTCTTATGTAGCAGCCATGATGTAGGTATCAGTGCTGGGTACAATAAGATGAGTAAGAGTCTGTGTCCTCAGTAGACGCACAACCTAGTAATGGAAATGAGTATATGATGAGTGTGACGATGGGTATATTTGTAGGGTATTGTGGGAAAGAGAGAAGAGGCATCTAAGAAGAAGGCTTTCTGGAAGAAATTTCCTTTGTTTTGAGACCTCATGGATGAGTAGGAGTTAACTAGGCAATGTTGGGGAAGAAAAAAGAGAGAGAGTTTGGGGACTAGCATTCCTGGCAAAGAGGAGAGCAGTAGCAAAGGTGGGAAGGCAGGGGAATGTGGAAGAACGCGTGGGCAACCAAAAGCAAATGAGTGTTACTTAAGTGAAAAGTTGAAGCAGACAATAGTGAAATATGAGGCTGCTGATATAAAATCCTGATTTTAAAAGCCCTCATTTGCCATATTAAAAAATGTGGATCATATTCTTAAGCAATGAGGAGGAACTATTCAGGAATGTAAGTGAGAGAGTAATGTGGTCAAATTTAGGTTTTAAATCTCATAATCTTTTAGTTACATTGGCATGGACTCAGTCAAGACTGTAAATGAAAACAGAGAGACAAACCAAAAAATATTTTCATAATAATAAAAACTAGAGAGGGTGACAGCCTGAGCTAGAGCGAGGGATGGAGAAAAAAGGACAGAAGTACTTTGGAGGTACAAAAGCAGCATTTGGGGTTGGTTGGATGTGCACAATATGGGGGAGAGAGGAGTGGAAAAAGATTCATTCCTTGGCTGACTAAATGAATGATGGTTCTACCAATGGAAATGGGAAACACAAGAAGAAGAGCAGGTTTAATGAAGGGATGCCTGGTTCACTTTTAAAGAATCTCCTGTGGGAAATTCTACTGGAAATGTCTGATAGGCTGTTAGACAGTCCTGGTCTTAAAGGAGAATTGTGAGCAGGAGATGTAGATTTAAGATATATTATGGGCCAAATTGTATCCTCTCAGATTTCATACATTGAAGTCCTGACCTCAGATGTAATTATATTTGAAAATGTGATTGTTAAGGAGGTAAATAAGGTAAAATAAGATCATTAGGGTGGGCCTTGATCCAATAGGACTGATGTCCTTATAGAGGGAGATTAGGATATAGACAAGCAAACAGGAAAGTGGGATGACAGCCATCTATAAGTCAAGGAGACGTTAGAATGAAATCAATCTTACCAGCACCTTAATCTGAGACTTCTAGTCTCCAGAACTGAATAAGTTATATTGTTTAAGCAAGTCTGTGGTATGTGTTATTGTAGCCCTACCAAACTAATAAAGTTTTTAGAAAGAGACATAATAGTAAAGATGAAACTACAACACTGGAAAATATAGACCAAAGAGAGGATGTAATTGAGAGCCCCCAGGCACAGGAAAAGGGCCCCAAGGAGGAGCAGGTATGGAGCTATCAGAGAGGCAATGAACCAGAAGTCTGTGGTATTGTGGAAGCAGAGTGCTCAAAGTGAGAGGAATCATCAGAATGGTCCAGGACACCAGAAAACACCAGAAAGATTTGTGAGTAAAATGTAATTGACACAGCACAGATAAGCTAGTGAGAATAATTCCTGCAGACCAGTGTTGACAGAATCCAGTTAACAGTGGGTTGAGGAGATAATATGAGATGATAAAGCAGAGAATATGGATGTGGCCAATCATTTTGAGAAGTTTAGATGCTAGCGAGAGGAATGAGATTGAGGAGGTTTACTATAGGGAGAGATACAGTTCTTAGAATAGAGAGAAAGGTATGTTTTCTGACTGAAAAAATGGGCCCAAGAGAGTGGGATTGAAGATAATGGTAAAACATGGGGGCGGGGCGGGGAGTGGCATGCAGGAATGACCCATGGAGTAAGATCCTGGAGGAACAGGAAGAATCAGGGGAAGAAAGGGATGGAAGAGTTGGCCTGAGACATAAGAAAAATGCTTCATCTTCTAAAATTATAGCAAAAGAGGTGAGAATTGATGATGAAATGTGTGGTTTTGTAAGAGTGCAGTGATAAGTTGAGGAGGATTGTACACAGTAGTCTCAATTTTATTTTTTTGAAGTTGAAGCAATTTCTCTAGTTTTCCAGTTTCTATCCAGTGACATTTGGTCTCCAGAATATAGGAGGATCAAGGTTTTGTTGGGCAGGTCCAGCAGAAGGGAAAAGCCTGTGAGGGATTTGAGAGTGCAGGTGCCTGATCGGTCCAGATTCTATTTGTTATTTCACTAACGTCACCATCATAGCAGAAGGAAACAGGAGTGGATTAGGTGAATTTTCTGATGCAACCATTCTGGTGTGTTAAAAATGGAGGAGAAGATAGCAGAAGAGACTAGAAATTAAGAGTTTGTATAGGGTGAAGAACCACTATCTGATATGTATACTCTGCTTATATACAAGAGCTTTAAAAATATTGAGAATAGAGTTCATCCTATGCAAAATATGTTTTTGGTATCTTCAGCCTTCCTTTTTTATGCCCCTTCCTCTTTTTATGGACCTTTTACATTTACAGACTAGAAACACTAATTTCCCCCTCAGCATTCATGATTAATTTATACATTCCTTCCTAGTTGAACTTAATATCCTAGTGGCAACAATGGCTAACATTTTGAGTAGTTGCTATGTGCCATGTATTATGTTTCATGTTCACATATAGTACAACACTTATTACCCCAACTATCCTCTGAAGAAAAGTATGATCCTTGACCTCATCTTACAACCAATGAAACTGAGGCTTACCCAAGATTCACAAGGCTGGTAGTCAGTAGAGCTGAGATTCAAACACATGTCTGTTTGAAGCACTATTCTACCTTTTAAAAAGGAAAGTCAGAGAGGACAATGGCTTACATAATGAAAGGCAATGGTAAAATCTGAGATACGGAAATGGAACAAGGGTATTTCCACTTATTCCTTCAAAACCCAACATAGGGACTGCTTGGCTGTGGTAAGATAGACATGATGTTGAGGACAATTATAAGAACCTAATCTTAAGAGACCTGCTGTGTTGCTAAATTTCTCTATTTACTTTAATTTTGTCTAGTTTTTGTGCTGTAATGTTTTACCATCTAAACAATGAGAATACAAAATATGATTGTATTTACACTACGTATTTGCTTTATATGTGATGTTGATCTCTTCAAGCTGAAAGATGTGATATAGCTAAAAAAAAATATGGCTCCCACCCTTCACTGCTCCATCCCCCAAAATGCACAATCAATTTAGTTCTATAAAGCAACAGGGAAGCTCATTCTGTATGTAGTATTTCTGAAAGATTCCTGGCAGGGAACTGAGTCCCCTTTTAATTTCCCAAGGGAAGTATCTGATTTATATCAACTTTGATGTTTGAAATATTTCTGCTTCTTAGTCAAGAAAGGGAAAATACAGTTGGATGCTAATAAAATAATTAGAAGTGCCAATTATCTAGGGTAAACAAAAAACAACATTACACAAATAGTACATGAAGAACATGCAGAAAACAGCAGCATAATGATAGAAATTAACTTTACGCCACATTTCCATGCATTGTTTTGAAGTTTATGTAATTTACGACACAACCCTCATATTAGATTTTGAATTGGAAGAAATAAGCTTGTGTTTCATTATATTATACTGTAATATAAGGCTTAATAAGAGCCTGATAAATCTTAAGTATTGCATTATGCTATGTTAATGATTATCATCATAGATTTTCCAACACAGGCACCAAGGTGTCATCACACATTATAATTTAAAGGAAATATTAGCAATTCTGAGTGCCCATATACTGTAGTTAATAAAGCAGTGAATAGAAATCAGCTTTATAGGTAATTTGCCAGCTAATGACAATTATTTCTATACCGTGTCACAGGCTTATGTGAAGAGAATAACTTTTTGTATAAATAAGATCGATGCTCATAACACTCTCACTTACGTACTGCAGCAACTCATCCAATACTGGTGGCTGATAGTGTCTCTTAATAAATTAATTTATTGCCCAACAACACAAAAAAACACAGTATTTCATGTTGTTCACTTCCCAGGGGTATTCAGCAAGTTTGCCAACTTCAACAAAGAGTCTATATTATTCTGGTAGGAACTGAAGTGATGACATGTGATTTGCAATATATTGCGGTCAAGTGTTCCATGTAAAAGCTGCACGATTTATGACCATCTCAGAGCACGGGGATTCTGCTGTGTCTGAGGAAGT